CTCTCTCTCTCTCTCTCTCTCTCTCACAGGCTGTGGCTATCATCCCTCTGTTACGTATATTGTAAAACTTCCACTCATCACTTGTCTGGTAACTTTGCTTTTAGTGTGTTCACTGTTTGGAGAATTTATACTTTTATCTAATCAAATCTGTCATTTAAAAATTTATGGTACCTTGACTTTGTGCCTGCTTAGAAAAAGCCTCTGCATTCATTAAAATTCAGGAAGCCAGTTGGAAACACAATTTGCCAGAGGAGCTTCTTTCCCAGCATTTAAGCCTGGATATCCTTACCAAGGGAGTTGTCCCAGCAATGGGAACACTACCTCTTCTTTCAAGTTTTTAGTACTTTTTTCTCAACTGGGATTTTAAAAATATGATATATCTATATGTATATGTAAAATCATCTTGGTGCATTTGGCAACAGGTTTTGTCATTATCACCGTTTGCAAGGATCCCTTCTGATCTGCAAACTGGAAAGTCGGGTCATTTTGTCTTTTTGGGGAGTTGAGTTCTGGAGATTTAACCCAGGAGCAGCTTTAACATTGAGCCACATCCCAAGCCATTTTTGTCATTTATTTATTTATTTTGCACAGGGGTTTGAACTCCAGGGCACTCAACCACTGAGCCACATCCCCAGCCCTATTTAGTATTTTAAATTTAGAGACAGGGTCTCACTGGGCTGCTTGGCACCTCGCTTTTGCAGAGCCTGGCTCTGAACTCACAATCCTCCTGCCTCAGCCTCCTGAGCCACTGGGGTTACTGGTGTGTGCCACTGTGTCCGGCTTTGTTTCTTATTTTGAAACAGGGTCTTGCTAAATTGCTTAAGGCCTCACTAAGTTGCTGAGGCTGGCCTTGAACTTGAGATCCTCCTGCCTCAGCCTCTGGAGCAGCTGGGATTTCAGGTGTGTGCCCTTGTCCCCAGAATGTCTTTTTACTTCTTGGGGATGTTTTTCTTTTGCTTTTTTATGGTCTGGATGCCTGATTGCACTGATTTTCAGATATCATGGGTGGGTGAGAAAAAGCAAGAATGTTATTGTTTTCTTCTCTGTTGGGCTATTTTCTATCTTTTTTTATGAAAAGGGAGCTTTTACAAGTTTTCCCTTACCTCTTTCTTTTTCTCCAATTGCGTGTCTCTCTTAGGCTGTCGTTGCTCTCTGGGGACTGTGATTTCTCACTCGGATGCAACACTGTGATGCCTGTGACTCACTGGGTTGACCCTCTGTACGGGTAGTTGGTCTCTTACATATTTGTATGTGGATGGCAGAACAATGGCCAGATAGTCACATGCTGGTCCCTAGAGCCTGTGACCGTGTCGGGCTGCGTGGCAAAGAAGAAGGGAGGTTTCAGATGGAATCAAGGTGGCTCATCAGCTGACCTTGACTTGGGGAGATCATCCTGATCATCGAAGTGAGCCCAGTGTAATCATGATGAAGGGGGAGACAGAAAAGAGAGAGCCAGGGGACGGCAGCGCAGGGCGTGCTTGGTCACTGGTAACCTTGAAGGTGGCGGAGATGGAAGCCAAGGAGCCTAGGCAGCTCCCAGCACTAGATCCTCCAGAGAGGGACAGAGGCCTGCCCACACTCTGCTGCCAGCCCAGTGAGACTCTGACTTGTGACTGAAGAACTGCAAGGTCACCCACGAATTGCTTTAAGCTACTAAATGTATGCTTGTGGCCATTAGCACAGCAAAAAGGACCACTGGAGACTCACAGGTTGTGATCCTCAAACTACAATTCCCAGATTTTGTCCTCACTCTGAGAGACACTTTGTTCTACAGAAAGTAGCCACCTAGGATCCCTAAAGCCCAGGACATCATGCCGAGAGTTAATAAACGGGATGGCACCAAATTAAAAAGCTTCTGCACCTCGAAGGAAACCATTAGGAATGTGAGCGAGAAGCCACAGAGTGGAGAGAATCTTTGCTGCCTACTGTTCAGACAGAGGATCAATATCTAGAATACATAAAGAACTAAAAAAACCGTAACATCAAAAAACCAAATAGTACCGTTAGTACATGGGTGAATAAATCGAACAGGCACTTCACAAAAGAAATACAAATGGCCAACAAAATATATACACAAAAAAGTGCAGCATCATTAACAACTAGGGAGATGCAAATCAACACTGAAACTGAGATTTCATCTCACACCAGTCAAAATGTCAGTCATCAGGAATACAAACAATAATAGAGGCTGGAGTGCATGTGGAGGAAAAAGAACCCTTTCACACGGTCGGCGGGATTGGCCATTAGTACCACCACGACGGAAATCAGTATGGAGGTTCTTCAAAAGAGTGGACGTGGGACTACCATAGGACCCGGCTACAGCATGCCGCGGTCTTCAAGCGTTAAATTTGTCGTATTATGAGTTGTACATATTAACATGCACACCCATGCTCAGAGCCGGGAGGGAGCGGGCAGGGGCTGGGGAGTGGTATGGGCCACAGTGTAGTTATGCTGTGGGCGAGTATGGACGGGTGACGACAGATCCCATCCTACGCACAACTCTCATGCACCAATGAAAAGTGTGGAAAGAAAGCAGCCACCCAGCCCCCGCATCCCTCCTCGGGAGCATGATGTGTTGGGCACAGGATTGGCTTTAGGCTCACGGGCTCCTGGAACTTGCCTGTTCTACTTGTGAATCGCCTCCCTACAATCATCCTCGAGTCTAGTCCACAACTGTGCTTTGGTTCCACTCAAGACAAAGGGAACAGCTGCAGTGGGTCATTACTCTGAATTCCCAAACGCTGACTTTCCCCTGATGCTTTACCACTGGATTTTATGTGACTCCAATGAGAGTTTGGGATCTGAGCAGATTAACTGAGAAGACCCTGGATATGGAATTAGGGGAACTTCAGCGCCCATGACCAAACCTAGTGGGTCTCTCAATCCCCAGGGACTCTGTTTCTCCACCTTTGAAGTGGGTTAAAGCCTGTCACCAACAGGTCCCCCCCCCCAGCCCACAGGAGACTCAAAAGCAACGTTGTGTCCTGTCCACCTCTCACGCTCCCGACCTGCCACATGGATGTGAAAGTGAGACGTTCCTTTGCTGAGTGGTTTTGGGGATTAAGTAAAGTCATACAGGTTTTTAGACACCAGTGTGACAGGTCACAGGAAGCCGCCTTGGTTCCCGGGCAGTCATGCTGCACTCGTACCACTAGGGGGTGCCCCCAACACAGGCCAGCCAAGGGGGCCTCTGGACCCAGCAGGGTCACAATGACCACCCCAGCGTACAGAACAAGTTCTCATTCTGATGTGACCACTCATTTTGTCAGAGGTTTTCTCAGGCAGTCGACTTCCCTGAGGGACGGTGGGAAGTGGGCCCTAAAAGTCAGAAGGGTCTTTTTGAAACACACACTTGGCCATGACCTTCTCCTACTTGGATCTCTGTGGCTACCACCTACAAATGGACACATAAAGTGAGTCACTTAGGTTAGGAGCCAGAGGCCCTCATCGGCCCCTGTGCTGACCCCGGAGGTGACCCTGGAGGCAAGGCTTAAGAACCTCCCAGGTGGCCTAGGCACAGGCGCAGGGACTCTCGGCATCTCAGACCTACGAGTTCTGTCCTGTTTCCTGCCCCTGTCCGCTGGCCGAGGCCTTGCTCTGCCGTGAGTCCCTCTCCCCAGCTCCTTTGTGAGGTCGGTGTGGACTCTGCTTCCCTGGGGACTTTTCTGGGGTGTTTCTGGCGGTTCCCCTATGAACGCCTTTCCCACCAGTCTGTGATCTGGGTGCGGGGCTGCTTCCTCGTGTCTGTTTCCTGAAGGCCTAGCCACCGAAAGACGCAGCCATGTTTGCCGAGGGGTGGAGAGAAGGGTCCCAGGTGCCGTGACGGCAGAAGATGCAGGGGTCGCCGTGGGAAAGGAAAATGGGAGTTCTGGGGAGCAGATGGTTGGAATCTTGGAGTCGGGAGCTGAACTTCCCAGGAGACTAGGGTGGGCCTTCTCAGTCCCCGAGGGGCTGGGGCTGGGACTCCTTCAGCCCACTGCAGCTGCAGAGGAGCCCTGCAGCGGCTTGGTTCTAGGAGTCATTTTGACTGTGACCTTCAGCGGAGCTGAGGCTCAGGGTCCAGAGCGGCTCCGGCAGCCCAGGGTAAGGATGCTCTCGAGTGGGGGACAGAGGCCGAAGGGGCTCTTGGTGGGAAAGGGAAGCTACTTGGATTTTTAAAAAATTGCTTCTCACTTGATTTTCCTTCATCCGAACCGTGCCTCTCAGGCCGCCTGGCCTGGCTGTCATAGAGCCACTGAAATCCGTAGCTATGGAAACGGCGGGCGCCTGGCTCCCCTGGCCTCTTGCTCCCGCTGCGTGTGGCCAGGGTGGTCTAGACTCGGTTTTGCTCGTGCATGGAGAGGCTGGTCCGCTCGGCCTCACTGCCTTCCTTCCTCTCAGCAGGGCGGGGCTCCTGGGAGGGCGACTCGGGCCGTGGCCAGGCCTCAGACGGTCCCAGGAGACAGTGCAGGGTGATGTTGCCCAGGTCTGGGGAAGAGGCCCCAGCTCAGTGGGCATAGCCCTGACGGACGCCAGGGCCCCACTCTCCCATGGCGGCCGGAGCTCCAGGCCCAGGGTCCACACAACGGGGTCCACTGCCCACCTCCTCCCCCACCCTGGGCCCGGCTGCGATCCCCTGATCCTCTCCTTACTTGATTCATCATTCTTTAGGGGGCATATGTGGCAGGGTTTGGCCGGAGAGGTTCATTTGTTTATTTATTTGAACTTGACATGAATGAAAATCCCTCTGCTTCAATGGACCACAACGGGAACCAAGGCAGAACCCCTGTCTTCTGCAGGCCTCGTCTGTCTGCTGACGCGCTCCACCGGAAGGTTTCTGGTTCTGTTTGGTCAGGGGCATCCTGCCATCAAGAGACCGCGTAGGCAGGTCCAGCTTATCTGGTAAAAACTGCCTGGGAGGATGGAGGGAACAGGGCGATGCCGTTTGGAGACTTCACGGTTCCATTCTGTGGCAGAGGCTTCCCACCTGGCCGTGGCCCTGCAGGAGCCGCAGAGACGGGCCTTGTACCACCAGGGGGCGACGCTGTCCCGCTTTTGATCCAAGCGTAGCGCTGGCATCTTCAGAGCCTGGGAGCAGAGTCAAGGTCTGCCACAGTCCAGGGAACTGTTTTTTTCCTTCAATACTGGAATTGAACCCAGGGACCTTCTGTCACCAAACCACATCCCCAAACCCAAACCTTTCTATTTTTTATTTGGAGACAAGTTCTGGCTAAATTGCTGGCTGGCTTTGAACTTGCAATCCTCCTGCCCAGTCTTCCGAGTCACTGGGATTATAAGCCTGTGCCATGGCACCCACGGAGAAAGCACTTTTTAAAAGTATTTTTATTTGGTTGCTATTATCTCTGTATGTTTTGGGCTCCCCCACTGAACTACAGGCTCCCCTAAAGTAGGACGCATGATCTAATCCTCCCTGTCCCCCCCGCCCACCACTCAGTTCAGTGCATGGAGATATTTTTCCCTTTAATTGGGGATTGGGCCAGGACCACTCTTCCTACACTCTTTATTTTTATTTTTTTATTTTTAAATTTTGAGACACGATCTCCCTAAGTGGCCGAGGCTGGCCTCGAACTTAGGATCCTCCTGTCTTAGCCTCCCCAGTCCCTAGCTGGCTCCAGTGAACTCGCCATCCCACCAGAAGGGCTGGTGTGACTTCAGTGGGAGGAGTGAAGAGAGCAGGAAACGCGAGCGGGTAAGACTGGGTTAAATCTGGGGCGCTGTCTAGCGGATGACCGTGTTTCCTGGGCTGGTTCTCTCCCCTGTTTAATGATCCTTGTACTGGGGGAGCGAGGGGTCTCCTTTTCCTCCTTCTCAACAGTCCCTCTGACCACTGAGATGTTCACCCTGCCTCTCACAGTCCCGCGACTCCCGAGTCACCACTACATGACCCTCCCTTCCCCGTTTCCTTGGCTCTCGCCAATCGTGGCTTGTGCCAGGGGCAGTGTGAGATGGTGACAGGGCAGGAGCAAGTTGCACAGTGTGATCCGTGTGATGGCCAAGCTAAGGGCAGACTTCAGATGGCATACGCTGACCCTGGGATTAGAGGATCAGGATTTGGGAAGATTCTGGAACGCTCTGGCCAGGGTAAGGAAGGATTTCCTCTAAGAGTTATGGCTGAGATTGTTTGAATCAACTCGTCAACCTGCAAATCACGGACAGATCAGGTACAGGAAGCCCCTGCCGCTCGAGGCACGGTGAGGGGCTCCTGGGGGTGAGCGCCCTGGCCCTGGGCCGGCCTCCTGGTCACGTCAACGGGAGCTCCTGGGCCCATGCAGGAGTTCCTTCTCCTCTGGGCCTCTCTGCAAACCCAGTGGAGTGAGGCTCCAAGGAATCTCTCTTTAGATTCAGCAGGTCCTTTGTTCGGACCCTTCTCATGGGGAAGGGAGTCTCCGTAGGAGAGTCTGGCTAGAACCTGTGGTCATTCCTCCCAACATGGCTCAGTACTTTCTTTGTTCCCAGGCTCTCTAATCAGGCTCTGAACCTATCATTTACTGGTGTGGAGACATTTGGCAAATTAACTGTTTCAAGGCTCAGTGTTATCATCTGGAGGTGGAGATGCCTGTTACAGGGATTTAATGAGATAATCTAGGTAAAGTGCTTGGCCCAGTGACTGCGTACCAATGGTTTCTGTTATCTTAAGATGCACCAGAGTACAGCGCTAAGTCAGCTGACCCCAACGTGGAGTCGGCCGCTCACTGGCTCCGTGATCTCAGGGAGACTACCTGAACTCTGGGTACCCCTCAGTTTGGGGGCTGAGGATTCTGCTCAGTGGTAGAACATGTGCTCAGTATGGTTCTGGGTTCGAACCATAACACCATGTTAAAAAAAATAAAGAAAAATAGTTTAATAGTAGCACCTGTCATAGCGCACTTGTCAGGACAGAGAAACTGACGTAGGTAGAGCACTGAACACAGTTCCTGCCATGTAGCAAGGGCCCGTTACTGCCTAGGAGCTGCAGCCTGCATTATCTGAAAGAGATATGCATTTGGCTCTGGAATGCTATGATGTGACTTAGTGGGAGAGTTGTTTTCTCATCTGACTCAGTTTGCAGTAAGATGAATCTATATGTATTGCTTTGTACAACTCACTAACACTGAGTCTAGAGAGTTAGGCATGGTGGCCCACACTTGTAATCCCAACAACTCAGGAGGCTGAGGCTGGAGGATTGCAAGTTTGAGGCCAGCCTCAGCAACTTAATGAGACTCTATCTCAAAACAAAATATTAAAAAGGGCTGGAGATGCAGCTCAGTGGTAAAGTGCCCTGGGTTCAATCCCCAGTACCAAAAATAAATAAATAAATAGTTAAACAAACAAACAAATAAATGAAAATAAAACAAAATAAAATACTGGGTCTAGGAGCTCAGAATCTGGTCAGGAGAGCCCTGTTAAAGATGGAAGTGTGCTCCAGAGTCCAGAGAGTGAATCATTTTAAAGCACTCACAATCACTGTTTCAGCAGTGGTCCGGGGTAGTTTACCTTTTGCTACATATCAGTTTAGAGAGAAAGATTTTCTTGTCAGTTTGCAGGTAGAGAAGTAGGTAAAGAGACAGATTATGTGCCCTGTCCAAAGGTTGCAAAGGCAGATCTATATTCTACCATACACCAATTGTATTTAGGATAAACATGAATCAACCCGCTTTGGCCCTGTCTGACGGGGTTGGAATCCTTGGGCACAGCTGCAGAGATTCTGGGTAAGGCCAGGAATAGAGCACATTTCAGGGCTTCTACTGCATGTCTGTGACTGTTTATTTTTAGAGTTTCCAACGAGAAAATTGTAAGAAAAAAATGGAGGAACAAAGGGTCTGAAGGAACAAAAAGTCATGGGTTGGAATCAGGAAAGAGCGACTTAGAAGACCTGAATTCTTCCTGAGTTTTCAAAATATCTATTATAAAGTCTAGGTCCTGGGCCACTTTGACTGGCCTTTTTCTAAATCATATCACTGTCTTCTAGGAGAATCTAGAAGAATCAGAAGGTCAGAATGAGGGTATCGTGCTACCCATCTTTCTAAAAAAGGGGCAAGAATTGATTTGGAGAGTGATCCACTGTGGTTGAGAACTGTTTGGATAAATGTGATGACATGGAATTGGGAAGAAAATTCTCCGCTAGCTTCTTCATGGGATGACGATTCATCATCAGCAGCAAGAGTTAGAGGTGTCTGTGATCCTTCTCTGGTTATGTGTGAAGCAGCCCCCTGGTCACCCGGCAGGGCACTTAGTTCTGACTCTGGAAAATGTCATGGTATTTGTTTTAGCCGTAGATTAATTTTCCAACTCAGCTTGTTATCTCTATTAAAAATAGTTTATTAGAGGGTGATGGGCCTATGGGTGCTGTGTCTTCTTTGCATTCGACAAGTATTTACTGAGTCCCTGCTCTCTGTGCCAGGCCCTGGGCTGAGGGCTGGACCCTCAGTGTTGGCGGGTCAGACTCGGCCCTCCTCCTGGAGGTAGCTGCTGAAGAAAAGGATGTGTTTGAGGCCCTCGCAGGCACCATGCCATCAACAGTGCTGAATGAAGAAGATCCACGGAGTGATAAGTCTGTGCAGAGTGGAGGCGTGGCCTTGCCCAGGGGGTCAGGTGTGTGAACACCCTTTGAAAACTCTGAAGTGCTGGCTAAGGGTGGAGAAATCCCCTGCCCCTCCTTCGCCTGGTCGGTTGGTCTCCGCGGGCATGAGACTGCTCCTGTGCAGAGCCTGGTACATTGTTTCTGTCTGAACTTCCTCTCTCCCTTTTCTTTAAAAAAAATTGTCATTTAAGAATTTTATCAATATTATTTTTGACTGACAAATCATAATTGTAAACGTTTGTTGGGGCAGGAGACGATGTTTGATACAGTACACGATGTGCCACGATCAAATCCAGCAAATTAGCATATCATCATTTCACTTACCTATTATTTTTCTCCGGTGAGACATTTGAAATTTACTCTTAGTTTTTTTGAGATGTATAGCATCGTCATTGGCAATAGTCGGGCACTAGATCCCAAGACCTTTACCTCCTATCCACCTGAGACTTTGGACCTTTTCCTCAGGCCAAGATATGGGATCAACCTAGATGTCCGTTTAGTGGATGAACAGATAAAGGAAAAGTGGGACAAACCAGCTACAGGCCCATCCTGTAGTCTTCCCTACTCAGGAGGCCAAGGTGGGAGGATCCCTGAGCCCAGGAATTTGAGACCAGCCTTGTCACAACGGGGGTCCGTCTGGAGGACATTGTGTTAAGTGAAGAAACCAAGCACCACAAGACAGATCCTGAGTGAACTTACTCATGGTAAGTGGAACGGTGGTTTCCAGGCTGGGAGGTGGGGAGTGGGGAGGCAGGGGTGGCCAACTCCCTTCTCCAGAGAGAGAGTGGGAAAGGCCCCCGATTTGGGTAGGAATAGGCTGAGAAATGGTTCTGTCAATTACTGGAGCAGAGAGGAGTTCCGCTCTATCCATCCATCATTTGCTTTTGTTCAGGAATCTGGCGAAAATCACAAACACAACTTCTTGGTCAAAATCATACGCTATCCTTTATGCTGTTAGAGACCACATCATGTATTCCTCATTAATCAGTGCTAGCCTACGAGTCAGACCTATGTCATCGTGAACATCAACATTATTATGAAAATTGAGGGGTTTCTTTTCCACAATTAGCACTTATTGTATGGCTGGGACCTGTACAGACGTCTGTATTTTTTTTTTTTTTCCGGTGAGGGGAGGTATTGGGAATTGGACTCAGGTGCACCTCCTGAACCACAGGCCCAGCCTGGGGATATTTTCATTTAATGATCACGTAAGCCCTGTATAAAGTAGCTCTTTTATCCCTGTTTTGCAGACAGAAGTGGAGACGATGATGATGATGGTGATGAGGGTGGTCTTGTGGTACTGGGGGTTGAACCCAGGTCAAGCTGTACCCCCAGCCCTGGAGTTAAGCACATTAGTTCCCTCGTCCAGGGTCATGGCACTCAGAAGTGGCAGAATCAGTGTTTACACCCAGACCCCCTTAAACCCTGAAGTCTTTACTTTTCTATTAGGTGGTGCCCGCCCTGGGATGGGTACGGAGCAGCCGCTGGAATCAAGACTCGGGAAACCTTACTTGCTTTCTCTTAACGAAGGAAAGAGGAGGGAGGAGTCACCACTGAGCCGGAGACTAGGGATTAGTGGAAGCCGGTCTGGCCCTGTTTCAAGTTCAGCGTCTTTGACTGGGTGGGCCCTGAGATGAAGGGGAGGGGGTCTGATGGCTGCTTGAGAGGGGGGTGGGAGGCCCCGTCACTGTCACAGGCCCTTCCAAGTCAGAGATATGGCGTAATCACAGGAGCACGTGGATAACGTGGATAGAGGGAGCAAGGCCCGAGACCACAGGGAAGAGTGACACACTGCTCATCACCAGGCTGGGGTCCTCTCAGGGCCCTCCTGGAGCCCTGGTGCCTAGTCTTGGCAACGTGAAATCACGGGGTCAGTCCTACTAACTCCGTCCCCTGTGCGGCTCCCCGTATAATCAGATTCAACCTTTTAAGAAAGAGGCCTCTGGCAGACAGGTCTCATGGTTTATGCATGACCCAGCGCCTTTCATGTCTCCTGCTGTAAATTCATGCTTGTAAATTGCATTTTGAGGCCCTATTGTAACCGTCTCTGGGGTTGAGTCGGGTTTGCTGGGTCTGCTGGCTGCTGAGTGTGTTGGAAGACGAGGCGGTGGAGACTGCGCAGAGAGCAAGGTAAGGACAGGGAGAACATTAGCGTCTGGCAGTTTGGGGGCCTCCAGTCTTCATGCGTCCCTTCGTATTGGTAGGAGATCATCCTAGTCGGGATTCTCCTGAGAGACAGAACAGATGAGATGGATGCACAGAGATTTATCATGGGAACTGGCTCATCACAGGTGTGGCCAAGAGGTGCCCTCCACAGTCTGCAAGCTGCCAAGGGAGTGGGTGGTGGGACTCCAAGCCCGAGAGGGTCGGGCTAGAGTGGGAGTGGGGGCCCGTGTGATCCTGGGGCCCCAAGGCCCCCAAACCAGGGATTCTGAAGTCTGAACGCGGGGGAATATGGCTGTCGCAGCTCAAGAGGAGAGGATTGGCCTTCTTCTCTCTTCTGTTCTACTGGGGCTCTCCGGGGACGGGACGATGTCCACCGCACTGGGGAGGGCAGGTCCCTCTGCTCCGTCTACTGATTCAAGTGATCATCTCTTTCCAAAACCCTCATGGGTTCTCCCAAACACTGCGTCATGAGTTGTCCGGGGATCCCTTGGCCCAGTCAAGGGATCCACCCCCCCAGAAATCGGCCCCGGAGACCCTCCCCCACGAGTCCTTTCCGGGTGACTTTCAACCATGGCGCTTCCCACTGCATGATCTGGCCCATCACCGTTCCTCCTGTTCTGGGAAACCAGGTGCTTTGGTGCCAAAGGGAACTGTCCCCCTCTCTCATGTGAGTTTTAAGTTTTCATAACGCCCTGAAACCAACGGGTCTTCTTTCCTACCGGTATAGTCAGAGGGAGTCCCTGCTTGTTCCTTCTCAGGAGTGGAGCAGCTTAGTTTAAGAGTGGACTGTAGCTGGGCTTGGTGAGGCACACCTGTGACCCCAGCTGCTTGGGGGGCGGAGGCAGGAGCATCGCAAGGCCCTAAGCAACTGAGTTATTCCTGAGAACACGCGTCCCCAATGAGGACGCTCACCCTGCCCTCCTGAGAAACGCGGGAGAAGAACAGGTGCTCACGAGCCCCCTGTGCAGTGGCCTGATCCCATTTGGACTTTCTACCTCTCTCACGGACTCCATTAAATTGCATTATAATTGGTGGCCAGCCTGGTTGGTGCTGCCAATAGAATATGTCTTGAGAGTTTATTAGTTGAAATTAATAAAATTCTGCTTTCTTTAATTAAAGAGCATCAAAAATTCAATGATGAAGAATTAGGGATAAATTAATTGTTCAAACACCTGGGGTCAGTCTGCAGCGCTAGCCAGCAGGGAACACCCACAAAAATTCATCACCCTCCGACCTGAGTTTGGACGTCTTGATGGGCTGCTCTGTTTCCTGTGCTCATGTTCTGTGGTTGGGATTTCCGGGGCCAGAAATCTCCTGGTTAGAGGTATCCACTTGTTGGCCCAATTAAAATAGGTACAGCCAGAAAATCACCGGGGATGCCGGGGTTCACCCTGCTTCCAGAAGCAAACCGGTCCACTACCTCCCCTTTCCCGCTCTGGTCTCCCCCCCCCCACTCTGCCTTCTCCTTCTTTTTACATTTCCTTTCTTTCCTCAAATAATAAAAAACCCAGTTTCTGCCTTTGCGAATGGGGCCAGGTGGAACACGGGAGCCAGTCTCCAGTGAAACGCATCCCGGTGCTTTGCTATTACAGGAGTCTTACTGCAAAAGCTCCTCAAAAAGTGTTTTTGGATGGATGAGTAAGTACCATGTGTCTCACCCAATGTCACTGAGCCAGGACTGGGCCTTCGTAGTTAAAAACTAAATGTTTCAGTCAGCCGGTAAGAGGGGTCAACACTCGGCACCACAGTCTTGGGCGTCTGGAGTCTCGGCCAGCCATGAGGTACTAATGGCAGAGAACCCAGGACAGGTTTAAAAACTGAAAGAGCCGCCCGGCACATTTGCACACCAGATCAGCCTAAATCTCATTGTCAAAACTGTCGAGTTCTAACTGAAGGATGACGCCCCGTGGGGAACTGCAGTGACTCGGCTCTGGATCACTGTGCTGGAAACCGTCTCCATCCAGCCCATGGTGGGGTTCTTGGAAGCGGACATTCCTTCTTTTGTTTTCCTTCCTTTCTTTCTTTTCTTTTTAAAAATATTTTTCGCTGTAGATGGACACGATACCTTTATTTCATTTATTTGTTTTTATGGGGTGCTGAGGATCCACCCCAGGACCTCACCTGTGTGAGGCAGGCGCTCCGACCACTGAGCTACAGCCCCGGCCAGAGATCTCTCCTTCGTGAGTGTTGGTCTATTTACAGCTCACGGCTGCCCCCAAGTGCGTCCTCTCGCAGGCTCTCACTGGAACCCCAGGGTGGTACTAGCTCCCTGCCCTGCTTTCCCAGGATCTGAGGGTGCAGACGGCTCTGGCCACTCCCTGGACTCCCAGACAGCCCTGCGGAATCACAGGTATCTCTAGGGAAGCCACGCTCCTCTCTCTCTTGTCAAAGTCTCGGTCCTCAAGGCCTTGGTGCCCTGGTAGCTCTAAGAACCTTCAAATGGATGTCTCCTTTCGTATACGCACTATCCAGGTACTTTAGCTGTTCTTGGAAGAAGAACTGGTTCTGGAAACCAGTGTACCACGGCTGGAAGTCTCAATGAGGTCGAGTTCAGACACAAATTTTCCGGATATTTTCCCTGTACTTAGCTCAATGCCCTTATTGAGCTCACCAGTCGTAGCTTGTATTGTACTTGGCTTATTGAGAATATCAAGAGCAGAAAAAAAAAAGAGTATTAAGAGAAAAAGTAATGATGACAACAAGAATGTACTTTAGGGTCGTCAGCCAAGGCAACATTGCATTCTTCTTTTTATATCTTCTTCTTAGAAAATCTGCGGTCTCTTTCTTCAGTTAGTGCATATTTCTTATGCAGAGTAGTGGCTTTCGCTGCATCCTATTCATATAGGTATCGATTCTGACCACTTCCGCCCCCCGTCACCCACCCTTCCATTCCTGCCTCTCCCCTGACCTCCTCCCTCTCCACTAATGGAAACCGTAATCTCTCCATCAGAGCGGGATCCTTGCTTCGTCCTTTCCAACACCGCACTCACCGCACGTGTGGGGGATAACGGAACTTGCCTGTCCATTACTCTCTGGAAGTGGGTAATTTAAGGGGGGGTGTCATTATGTAGTGTGACAGCACGAGTCTGGGGGCTTACAGACCTACGTTCTTGCCACCTTGTGACAAAGGGAAATCATTTTGGGGGTCCCAGTTTCCTGATCTACAAAACGAGAAGTTTGGACTAGATGCTCTTTTAGAGTTCTTCCAGTGTAAGCCATCAGTGTTTATAAACATGATCATCCCAGCAGGATCTCTATTTTTAAAAAGTAGATTTTTTTTTTAACACTTTTTGAGTCAGGGTCTCACTCTGCTGCCCAGGCTGGCCTTGAACTCATGGTCCTCCTGCTTCAGCCTCCTGAGTAGCTGCGACGACAGGCTGTGCCCTACACCTGGCTCTTAAACATGATTTTGAAAAATGAATTTATATACAGTGATCAATTATATAGTTCTGTATGCCAGCAGCAATAAATTGGACAATAAAGTTTTAAAGTATCATTACCATAGCATCAAATGCATCAAATGCTTAGGAATA